TAGTGTTATATACCAATAGATTCGTATTGACGTTGATATTTAACAGTTAAAAATGATTGTTATCTTTTCCGTCAAAAATAAAACTCTTTTTTGAAATTTTTATTTTTTCCGTCAAAAATAAAACTCTTTTTGGTTTTATTTTATTTTCTGACGGAAAAAATAAAAGTCCCAAAAAGAGTTTTATTTTGGACGGTAAAAAAAAAATTCCAAAAAGAGTTTTATTTTTGACGGAAAAAATAAAAATCCCAGAAAGGCATAAAACTTAAAAAAATCTGCTTGAGCCCTCTCTCTAAGGTTGCACAGTATGGGAAAAAATCTGTCACTACAAGAAAAATCTGCTCTCAAAAAGGGATGTTTTGGTGTGTTGCCAAATACCGAACTTTGACACGGTTGAATTTAATTCGTAGATGAAATTTCGCAACCATATTCGATATAAATACAACATAGCAAGCAAAGACATTTGTAAGCCATATTGCCCAATATGCCTAAAGAGCCGCTTAACTAACGGCGAAACGCGTCGCACAATGGTGTGAATGTAGTATCTCTCTGGCTTTCCTTTTCATTGCAACTTCGTTCATGTAGCTCATCTCGAAAGAGACATAAATAAAACCGGTAGGGAAAGTAGTAAAATCGGACTGGGCCGACTATATGATACCCTTCACCACTTTGAGTATATTCTACATATGGGAAATTACAAAATTCTTTTAAAATTCCATTTAAAAAAATTTGAAAAAAATTTTTGCGAGCACATTTATGATTTTTGGCACATAGGTTAAGAAAAATATGCTGATTCGAAATCTGTTCGCGTTCACAAATTCGGATGCTGCGCACAAAAGTTATAGCGGTTTTAAATCTTGTATTTCAAATATAAATTAAATGAATTTCTATTTGTTGTAATTCGCGAATTTCTTCACAAATGGTTAAACACATTTGTTTTCTTTGTATACTTGTCAAATCACAATGCAATACGGTTTAATAGTCGGGAAAAACAAATAGAATCATGAAGATATCTGCAAATAAAATAAATTAATTTTTGAATAAAAAAAAAAAAACATTTTTTTGAATTTTCGATTTTTTAGTATGGTTAAGAGGATACGTTTTTGCCTTAATCTTCTAAAATATACGACGCTTTCTTCTGAAAATTCTTTTAGATGATTGTTAAATATCGGTAGATTCATCTGATAAGAGTTTCGACGTCATTAATGGCTAAATATATTGCACTTACAATACATATAAATGATCAATATTGAAAAGCTTGCAATTCGCGAATTAGTTGAAATCAGTTGATGCGCATCCGATTTTCGTATAAACCGAGTCAATGTCTTTCAATAATTATGAATTTTTCGATGTTTAATATAGCGGTCAAAGTGTGCCACTCGATGCACTTTACTATGCAAAAATCCTAAAAATGGCTAAAAATCACGCAACGTGCATACGATTTTTATGCGCATCCGATTTCAGTAATCTCCTATGAAAATACACAAAAGGACACCTATTTTAAAAGGATCGGTTAAGAACCGCGGATGTGCCTCCACAATCAATTTTGGATAAAATGCGCATATTATTCGCGTATCGAAGGTTTTTTTGACCTATTTCCACACAGATTCGCGAATTTGACAATACAAGCATAAATGCATGTAAAATTAATTCGAAGAAAACCGCGATTATTTACGCGAATTTATCAAAATAAGTTTTTGCAGTTTTTCCCACATTCAAGGTACCTATATCCGCCGTTTTATTGGACGGAATTCAACATGGATGGGCTCATTAGATCCGGCACGTAAAAAAACTAAAATCACGCGGGGTTCCACGGAATTTGAATGGACTTTCTTAATTTTAGACTCAAAAAATATGTTTTTTATAAAAATTTACGCACCAAATTTTCGTCTTTGGAACCCAATTGCAAAGAAGCTGCAGTGAGCACATTCATGAGATATACACTAAACGAAGCAGAATCACGAGTTCTACAATCCTATAATTTGTTTATTCTATTATCTGGATGCGCATCCTAATTATAAGAAAAATTAAAAAAACACGGAAAATCCGGCTTCAAAATGTCAGCATCCTTTTTGGGTGGATGCAGTTATTATATCGAAAAATCATACATTAGAACCATATTGTCCATGGGGTATTCTGCAACTTAGTCACTGATCACATGTGCGTGCGTTGTGTAGTTTAGCCACAAATCGGGAACGAATACAAAAAAACTCGTTGGCTTCAACACATTTTCACCCATTTTTTTACATTACCACCATCACAGCTTCAACGCAACTTATTATTTATTACCAATATTTCAAGATTTTGACAAGAACACTTCATTTTATAGAATTGAATTTAAATTATATGCAATATGTTCATATTTCGCGAGTTATAACCTTGCAAACCTCAGCTTCAAGGAATTTAAAAGATTTTTGTAATTTCCCATATGTATCCTAAAAGTCGTCGCCTTTTCAAAGGAACATTGACATGAAATTGAACGAACTTAAATATGTTATATTTATCTATATCTAAACCGACTGCAATCTGTGCTAAATTTTGTAAATCGATTTAAAGCAAACTTGACACACGCTATTCGGTATGCTGCACTGTTTAAAATGTAATCTGAATCAGACACCCATTGTTTATTTGGTGTACAATTGAAATTATATATGAAAGCTAAGATATATCCATATCTGAACCGATTTCAAGGAAACTTGCCAGAGATTAATTTATATTAACTTCAGTACGTTATGTCAATCGGCCTAGCTATGGATCTTTAGTCCACCATTTATTTAAAATCGCACCAATATATATATATATATATGTATTCACGAAACTTTGCACACATCATTCTAGGCTTAATTCAGTACGCTATACCAAAATCGAAAGACGTATAGGGTCTTTGGTGCACCATTTACAAAAAATCGGACGAACCTATATATGGGAGCTATATCTACAACTGAACGGATTTTCACGGAACTTCGTGCACATTATTCTAGACTTAATTTAGTACGTTATTGCAGGGACTTTGGTGCACCAATTACCTAAAATCGGGCGAAACTATATATGGGAGCTATATCTAAATCTGAACCGGTTTTCTCCAATTTCAATAGGGGTTGTCCTTGGGCCAAATAAAATTCCAACTAAATTGGATTATAAATGCGACCTGCATTTTTTTACAATTTAACATCAACAGACGGACGGACATGCATAAATCAACTTAGAAAGTGATATTCTCAAAAGGAACCATGTGTCTATCTCAATTCCTTTTGCCTGTTACAAACATATGGACAAAGACATAATGCCCTATACCGCAGCGTGGTGAAGGGTATATGTAAACATATTTAGACATCTTTAAATAATTCTCACCTTCGCTAGCGGAGTAGTGGGCATACGCTAGTTTTTACATATTTTTCCAATGTTAGCCAGTAAGAATTATTACAATTTCAGAGTGTAATGAACCTATATCCAGAGATGCTGTTTACATATATTGAAACATTAAGCAATGATCCATTTTATGCTAAATACGAGTATTTCCTCATCTCGAAATTCAACGACAAAGACTTCGAAGTTCAACGACCGTCGTCCAAGTGGACTGCAAATACGATTATGAGATTGAGTTACTTGGCCATTTGAAGGATTGGAAAGCATCACAAAATTAGTGATAACAATGGCAAAAGTCCCTTTGATTGAAAATAATAGCCCCGGTGACTTATGCTGAAAATAAAAAAAAATAACTATTAGATTCATTTATTATTATTTTTGTGTAACTATGGTATAGTCTGTAATAAAAATAAGCAATTATGCATTCTATTTATTTATTCCTTAAGACACATGCCTGCTAAATTCAATAGAATTGAAAAAATGTGTTATTACAAAAATAACTTATTGTCATACCGTGCAATTAATACAACATTGTTTTATTAAACAAAAACAAATATTTTCAAATAAAAATGCATAATTTATACGAATATCTTTAAATGTGTAAATCTATTCCAAAAACTATGTACCTTTGGTAGCCTTGAGTCAGTTAGCCCTTGGGAGAGATAACATTTCCACTGCTTACAGCTCACAGGGATGGACATGGAGGAACATAAACTACATCGAAAATGAATGCCATGGCCTGAGAATAATTCAATATCCCCATTCGAGGACATTATAAAACCATAAAGTGCACATTTAGCACGGACACAATAAAACGAACATTTCGAATTGTATTAAAATGGCAGCAAAGAAAGAAAAAAAAACCAACTACAACAACAGCAGCAATAGCTACAACAAAATCATCGACGATTACAGATATCAAAGGAAACGGAAGATGCTCATAAGTATATGTGAAACTGGTGTGTAAGTGGGCAAGTATGTGTATTTGTACGTGTCTTTGTTGTTGTGTCTGCAAGTGTGAGCATTTTATTCTTTAACTGGCGAGCATTTGGCGTAAAACGCGTTTAAATTGCATTTGATCCCAGAGCAGTATCTATTCGATTTTCTATTTCCCTTCTTTATTTTATTTTTAAAAACTTTTCTGCTGATTGCCATGGTCAAGGAAGTTGAATGAACGGCCAGTGGACAAGAACAGAAAAGGACAGACAGACAGACAGCAATGAATATACCAGATAAACATAGACGCATATCCAATCTAGTATTACATATCCTGGTTTACAGTTGTGTTCAGAAATTTAGTATAATAGACGACAAGGCATGAGCGATAATGTGACACCCTACACAATTTCACTTGAGTTTAACATTCAACAGAGCTAATTGTCAATCATTGCTGGGTACTGATCAGAAGGAAAAACATCTTCATTGCAGACGGAGGCTTCGTCGGGCGTGTACGTTGGTAATAGGAATTTAGTTGAAGGCAGTCGTCGATCGCTTTTCAAAGCGGTGCTCGTCGACAGAGTGAACTAAAACATTGATTTGAGTAACAGACTCCGCTTACCGAAACAGAGTGCAAAATTAAAAAGCGTAACGTTATAATCGGGACTGAGTGATTGTGAAAGTTTCTTGCGTGTTGAAAAATGTTGATGAAAAAGGCAATATTGCTATTGGCACTGCTGTGCTTCAATTTGTCCTTTGGACATACTACACAGCGACCCAGCCGTTCTTCGGCTGCGGAGGAAGATTCAAATCCTCTGTTTGACATGGCCTCGATGTTTATTCAAGAGGCCATGAACAATCAAAATAACGGTGCTCGAGGAGGTGGTGGTGGGGGCGGTGCCGCATTGGCCGGTGTGGCTTCGTTAATCGGCTCCTTCATGCAGGCCAACAACGGTGGAGGTCAAGGCAAAGGTGCTGGATCTGGTGCAATGCAAATTTTATCTGGCCTAGGAAGTCTTTTGGCCAATGCTGGAAATAACAATGGACGCAGTAGTGGCGGATTTGACCCATCAATAATCGGCAACGTCATTGAAATGTTCACACAGGGCGATGATGCCGAAGACGATGATGGTGTCGATAACCATCAACATCAAAAACGAGAAAGTAGTGAACCAGGAATCGATTTAGGTTCAATTCTTCAAATTGCTTCTGCATTTATGGGTCAGAATAATGAACAGCCCTCCCAGCGAAGCTCTCATCATCATCAACAAAAACGAGCAGCAGATGGAAAATCTTCAAATGGCCAACAGGAAGAAAATGGTTTTATGAGTTTATTGCCGCTAGTGATGCAAGCTGTCAGTTCATTCGCCGGCCCCGAAGGCCAACATACACAGGAGAAACATAAAGACCATGCCTGGGTCTTGCCACCATTCCTTGAACACCTACACGTCCTGTTGGATCATTTCTCAAACTCGGAATTGGCTGATGCATTGTATGAAAAATCTGGTGTAAACAAAATCTTGAAGGGGTTCAAGGGACGTGACGGCAAAGTGGATTATGACAAATTATTTGAGTCGCTTAATAATCAATCATTCCGCAGACGTTGGATTAAGTCGGCAACATTGTATTTGGCCGATTGGGCAAGTTATTTGGCTAATCCTGAAGTCTACTTAAAGTATTTCCAAACAGCACAATTCATGTTCAATGGATTCCTCAAATCTCAAGGCTATCCTAAGAGCACGTTCTTCGATCCAAATCGACCAAGTGAAACTATATCCAATTTATTGGATCACGTTGCCAAACATCATTTGAATGTCAAAATCGATTCGCGGCAGTATGTTAAACCCGCAGTTGGATACGCAAAGGATTTGCTGCAGCTCGGACAGGCCCGAGGACTTTTGCAATTTAATGCCACCGAAATTAGTGACAAACTGACAGACACCATTAACTTGGAGGTTATTGAACCAGTTCTAAAAGTTCATCGTGCGTACCGCTACATTACCAAGCAGCCGCAATGTGATCGTTATGTTTTGTGTCAATTAAATGATGCCGAACAATATTCTGCTGAAGAATCAAGAGGTCTAATATCTGGCGTCAGTCCGAAAATTATTAAAGTTGGCAGTATGGGTGCTGCGTTCTTCATTAGTACAGAAACAGGAACTCCATTCTGGACATTGTTTAGTGTCATTACATCGGCATCGAACTGTGAGGTCAAATATCCTGTTGATTGTAGCGGTTTTCACGAAGGTGAAGCTAGGGTGACTACTGAATACATACACAACGAACTATAATTCCTTCAACTGACTCTGATAGTAGAGAAATGCCAATTAACAGAACAAAGTCGTGGTACTATATTTATCTATGCATGTATTGTACGCTCTAGTTACAGACTCGCAGATAGAACACGCGTTATTTTTTTAATTTAAGATAGCATTAATTTAAGATAGCATTTGGTTCGTTGTAAGTGCATCGTTGTCCCAGTTAAACGAAAACATGACAATTGGAATTCAAGTTTTCTGTCATAATCTCAATTTGCAATAGGTTATTATTAATTCTTCGATACTTTAAGCTATAAAACTAATTTAATTTTACACGATTTTACTGTGAACATTGTAAGGTTTAAATGTAAATAGTATTATCTCATATGACTAAAAAAAAAAAAATAAATGAAATTTAAATTAAAAAAAAAAAAAAAAACCAGTAAGGAAAGTAGTAAAGTCGGACGGGGCCGACTATATGATACCCTTCACCACTTTGGGTATATTCAACAGATGGAATCCTAACAGATGTGGCATTTTTGAAGGACCATTAACATGAAATGAAGAATATATAGGGAAGGATATATAGGGACTTTGTTGCACCATTTACATAAAATCGGACGAAAATATATATGGGAGCTATATCTAAATTTGAAACGATTTTCACGAAATTTCAAACACATCGTTCTAGACTTAATTCAGTAAGCTATGCCAAATTTCGTGCAAATCGAAGGATATATAGGGACTTTGGTCAATAGGGTTCGTCCTTGGGCCAAATAAGTAAACTGTGCCAAATTACATGGACGGACGGACAGACGGACATGCATAAATCGACTTAAAAAGCGATTCTATGCATATTCTCAAAAGGAACCATATGTCTATCTCGTTTCTTTTTGCCTGTTACAAACATATGCACAAAGGCATAATACCCTGTACCACAGTGTGGTGAAGGGTATAAATATAATGGACCGACGCACAAATACAATTATATAGGATGATATTGAAAATGAAATTTATCGATCCATTTTTGTGGGCTAGCTATCATATTACTGATTCAAGTTTCAGACTAGCCCACATATAATGGCATTCGATATTTAGAACACGCGTTTCAACCGAATTGGCAGTAATTTGGTATTTTAGGTTTCCTTTGCATAGCACACCTCGTACTAAATATTATTAACATTGACCCAAGTTTCCGGGTAGCTTCCCATATTCGGTATTTTGGGGATTTGGGACACGTTTTTTAGTCGATTAGCTGTAATTTAGTATTTCTCGTGGTATAGCACATCCTTGTACTAAAAATTATTAATATTGAACCAAGTTTGAGTGTAGCCCCCATGTCATTACTAAAAATTATGACACAAATCAAAATGATCAATATTGATCCCCATTTTAGCATAGCCCCATAAAACGCTAGGTAGTAATTTTTCGGTATATTTAACAGTCCTATCATAACAGTTTTCTCCTAGGAACCCCCATTAATTTTACATATTTTGAATGCCATCCTCATGGTGGAGGGTATAAAAAGTTCGGCCGATCCGAACTAAACATCGTTTTAAGTTGTTTATTGTTTTTATATATCCCCCCCACATAAACGTACCGCCCATTTTCGGTACTATTAAGTATTTAAACGAGTTTTCTTATAGAAGTTTCTAAAATTTTAATATTTAAGTTTCCTACCACAGTTCTCCAACCTGAGTGTCTATAATTTGGAACATAATTTTTTCAGAGTATGAACAACCTACTACCTCAATGTAAGAACAAAGCCCATATAAAAGTCCCGACCGATTCAAGCATTTTTGAATAGAGGCTTTAAAAATTCGGCTCGTCCGAACATAACGACGTTTTTACTTGTTAGAACTATAAAGGACTTGACTAAAGATTCAATCCACAAAAAAAAAAAAAAAACACAGTATAGGTCTTGTTTTCTCCATAGGTTCACAAGTCTCCAGAAAATGTTCCGCAATAATGTTGTATCTATACCTAGTAAGAGCTAGAAATGCCAAACCTATAATAAACACAAACCACAAGAGGTTTCTTACATTTATATCATTTATGCTGCACCTACTCATCATTATACACTTCGTTCTGCCTCAAACACTTTTTCTTCTCAGATTCGTTTTAATTTCAGTTTCACTACTGGAAAATGACCCGCTCTATAATTGCTCACAAGTGTCTGGGATAGCAGACTGTAAAATGGACAAACACGTCCGACCATCTAATGTAGATAGACAGGGGATTAAGCTATAAATGCAGTCCTAATCGAAACCGAAAAAAGGGAGAACACTGTTAGCATGTGCATTTGTGTGTGTGTCAGTCATTGTGTGAGAGAATTGTGCAGTCGAAATGTACGACGTGCTGCATTCGTTTGCGGCAGTGAAAGCATGTTCGTTGGAATATTTATATCGGTTGACCATTATTTTGCTACTTCCGGTATGCAGTGCCATGGATGCTTAAAAACCCACAAGTACCCACATACATACATACATGGAGACATGCATAGCTTCGTAGTTCGTACACGCTCTCGGGGACAATCCACAGAACATTGTTGGAGTTCCAAGCGAGCTGTTGCGAACTACGGCCACAACGTGCAAAAGTTTAGTGCTGTTGAAATTGACAACGTTTAAATTACCGTTAGTTTTTATTGATGTGGTTACCCGTTATGATAAACGCAAAAACAATAGCCTAACGATTGTAGCAATTTCAACTGTTTCCAGGTGGCATTGTTTTCAGTTTTGTAAGGTTAAGATAGGTTGTTACTAATAGGGTTGTCACATGGAGTTCCCAATCAAATGTAGGGTTTTGATATTATTTTAGTTGGTAATGGTCAAGCAGGAAATATATATTTTCGTAGTCAAAAATTTACGAAATGCAAAAACTTCTATTTAGATAGTTAACAATATCGTTATCAGGTTATATTATACCATATTCAATATTTCAAATTAACCATTTTAATTAGATTTCTATTCCAAATTTAAATGCGAATGCAAAGGTACTGGACCTTAAAATGCACACATTACAATTAAGAGAATTTGCTGCGCCATTCTTTTCTCAAATGAAACAAATATACCCAAAAATACCAAACATGTTGGTGGGTACTCGCAGTTAATTATCCAAAGATTTGTTGCACTAGGGTGGGAGTAACCACAAATAAAATTGAAACCGACCTTAAATTCACCGCAACATTTAGTTGCCTGGTTAGAGAGCTATGCGTGGGAACATCATTACTTACACATCCATACACACATTCGATATGTGGCGTTTGAGCGTATATGTTGGTGTGCCGATGTGCGTGTGTGTGTATGCAGAATATCCTGGTATTATAGAATTATATCCCATCATGTCTAACAAAAAGACCAACTATGTTGCCGACGAAGCACAGTGGAAGTATGGACAACAATTTAAAAATGTAATTAGTTTAAGGATTTTTTTAAACATAAAAAATCGGACTTTAATTTAATGGTCAATAATATCGAATAAAAATAAATTATTTCGTAGGCCCTATGTTAGGTATATAATCCATTAACCCTACGGTCAATAACCGGGTATATTTGTACCTTGTTTCGAATACAAATGCTGTAAAACTTTTAATAATGGAGATATTTGGATCGAATTTTGAGAAATCATTCTTGAGATATTTTCACATATAATCGAAGAAAAAAATTATAAATATTTTCCATATATAATTTTTAAATTTTTTAAAGTTATTACCTACGTAGATCAATAAAGAGAACGAGCTTATTACCCATATAAATAAGGGCACCAGTTCCCATGCATGAGTAGCTATACTATATAATTTTAGAAAATTGAAATCTATGGCAGCATCCCTACTGACGAACCGACTTAATCGTCTTAGCTGCGGTTACTCAACTTATTTATAGAAACCTAAGGTAATTGAGGTTGGCTCAAGTCTTTATATACCACGAAATTAATGAGTCCAAGTGGAGATTACCTCTCCATGATTTTATGTATGCATAAATGACAATCATATTTGGCCATGCCTCATGCGACAGCTTCCTTCTACAAAATAAATCCACGATTCGTAATCAAGAATGGTCCTCTTGACTTGACTGGAATTAGGGATTAGGGAACACCTGCAGTGACCCATAAATCCAATTCATCTTTTTGTACCCTACACAATTAAGTTGTGTAGGGTATTATAGGACAATATTTTGCGGGTCAAATGGACCCATACTTTTGTGTGAAAATGACATTTCTTCTATGGCGTAATACTCAATTCTGTAGTACGTGTGAACTGGATGACCTTTAAATTATATTATATTGATATATGTACACGGATGTGGGTGTTATACATAAACATATACAGGGGTCTACCTAGTGTGATATTATTTGGTATTAACATCGCGTGGATCGCTTAGGAATTTTACATTAAGTTCGTTTTTTATTAAGGACGTCACCATTAGGGTTGAAACTGACTTAAAACTTTATTTTTGTCTGGTTTTCTAGTCGCTTAGATGTTACAATTAAAAGCCGATAAAGAAGGTCAATAATTAGCGGGTCAAAGGAACAAAAACTTTTTGAATCTTATGGAATAATGTTTTACTCCAAGCTGTTGGCTTTTATCGGTCATGAGATTGCATCTAGCGCCAAATATTACCCAGGGTTGGAATACAGATCCACATAAACATAGAGACCAGTTGTAGTTGTGTAGGGTATCATATGGTCGGCACTGTCCGAATATACTACTCCGCTCATTGGTTTATTCTTATATGAATTCACGTTTTTATGGTTTTACTTTTAAAACTTTGTCTTGTGAGGGTGTATGCTAGGTCTGATCAAAATATGGATAACTATATTATTCCCTTTAAAGTAATGTCAGTCATGCCAGCGTTTTTTTAAATCCTTCTCAAGGACCTTCTTTGGTATAGCCAAAAGCTTATTTCCTTTTTCAAGTTATTCGAAGAGGAAAAAGTCAGCGAGATCCATGTCCGGTGAGTACGGTTGTTGGGGCATAATAGCGGTTTTGTTTTCCGCCAAAAATTGACGCACAAGTATCGATGTGTGAGGTGGTGCGATATCATTGTGCAATATCTATAACCTCTGCCATGTGGTCTACATTCAATATTTCTTTAAGAAGTC